TTCTTCTTTAGTAGTCTGGCTGTTTATTCATGTACCATGTTTTGATAGAGAGCTAATCACTTCCTTCTTGGCTCTTCTTTGTAAGAGGCTGATTAGTTAATTTTGCATATTTCTCTACATGGATTTCATAGCCAACATGTCTAGCTCCAGAAAAAATCTCATTCATATATATATATTTTTGGAAAATCACATTACACACATATGAATTAGGAGAATATGTGATATCATTTTTTGTTGAGTCATCCAAATGAACAACAAGGGCTGTCTTTCCATTCATTCAACTCTGCTTTTGTCTTTCAGGAGTCTTTGAAATGTTCCTCCTAAAGGTTTTGTACATTACTGTTAGGTTTATTTTATTACTGAGATGGAGCCTCACTTTGTCACCTATGCTGGAATTCAGTGGCACAATCTCAGCTCTCTGCAACCTCTGCCTCCCAGGTTCAAGCGATTCTCATGCCTCAGCCTCCCAAGTAGCTGGGACCACAGGCATGCACCACCTTGCCCGGCAAATTTTTGTTTTTTTAGTAGAGACGGGGTTTCACCATGTTGGCCAGGCTGGTCTCGAACTCCTGATCTCAGGTGATCTGCCTGCCTTGGCCTCCCAAAGTGCTGGGATTACAAGAGTGAGCCACGGCGCCCAGCCATATTTTTTTGTGGACATTTTAAACTTCTTTTTCTGCCATTTTAATCTTCTGACTGGTTATTACTTTCACATAGATAGTATCATTGATTTGGATATGCCAAATTAAGTTTCATACCATATGCAAATAAAGGTGATTTTGCTTGAAAGAAAGAAAGAAAGAGAAAGAAAGAAAGAAAAAAAGCTAGTTCCCTTAAAATTCTTTCTTTGAAGAGCAGTTTCTAAAATGACGACCCATGAAATGGGCTCAAGGATGTGAGCTACAAGCACCTCTAAAGCCCTTCAGTTTACTAAGTCCTAGTCAGAGAAGTAACAGAAACAAAAATAAAAAACAACACAACTGAGTTTGATTTCTGGGAGAGGAAACTAAAACTTGGTTTCCTCCCAGTGAGCACTCAACAGGTGCTAGTGGTACATAGAGGTTTTTCCTTCCAGAGAGATCAGAAGATAAAGCAGAAGACAAAACATTCTTCTACTGGGCTACAAAGCAGCCCAACTCTTGCATAATGTAATGAAAATCAACAAAATCCCAATGAAGAAAGGCACAGAAATGAGAAACGTGGGCTAGTCATCTCATCCCTGCTCCGTATTAATAATAGTAAAAATGAGAATTGCTATTTTTTATTCAGTGGCTACTTAGACTAGGTCCTTTACACATATAATGTAAAGGATCTACCAAATTCCAATAGGCCTGCAAAAAAGGCATGTTAGTTATCTACATATTATAGATGAAAGACTCAGAGAAGTTGAGTAACTTTCCCAAGGGATCAGATAGCTAGTCAGTGCTAAAATGGGATTATGACTCTAAATCCCACTGTGCTTTCTTTGCTGTCACTTTCCTTTGCTATGCCAGTTAAAACAGTGAAGTCAGCAAACATTAGACTTTAATACTTTTCTAATATAAGCTTTTAATACCACTGCTCACCATTGATCTGAGTCACATGTTCTAGAAATACAATTGGCTTAAAGATTAATCAAATTTTATAATGGCTACATCCTCTGTGTCTTACACTATTACACACTAACACGTTTCAGAATTATTGTGATTATACATATTTCTCTTTAAGTTTCAGATTTATCTTTCTTTTCATACTCATCCAGCCAGGCAAAAACCTACTAAGTTCATCAGACTGCTTGGCTTTGTAAATGGCACACTCATTTATATGGTTAAGTTCTCCAGAAATAAACTTTCTTTGCTTAAAGACTGAATGTTACTAAGACTTTTTATGTTGTAATAATAAATGCACAATTTTCTACAAGAACAAACCCTTCAACAGGCTGATCCTGATGCACACACGTAAAATATCTTTTCCTTTTTACTAAGGCACTGGTCTGTGTTTGTACAGTTGATCAATAAATCAAGTTACTCAAACTTTTAAAACAAAAATCCCATAAATGTTGGTATAATACATCTTTAAAATGCCAAAAATCAGAATTAATGGATATATTTTCTCACACAGAAACAGACTTTAAAATGATCTGAAATTATCTGATTTCATGTATACGTTAAGAGTCTGAATCATTCATGTATGATGGGTAAATGTATCCGTAGTTAAAATTATATTATTTTAAATTATAACCTTGTTTTATGTTTCTAAGTTTTATAGAGGTTTATGTACTGTAAAATCATCTATATTAACCTTTGACAGGTTTATTCTGGTAAAGGAGATTTGCACCTGAGCGATCTACTCAGAATAAAAACCATAAATATCATTTTTAAAAAATCATGTCTTCCTTTCTTCCTTCTTTGATAACAAAGTTTTATAAATACTACCCGTATTTTAGTGCTTAAAAAAAAAACTTAAACCAGTTAGATCAACTAAACAATTTTAATTTTTGACAATGGTATAACATTTACTCCAATTCTTATTCACGATAATAAAGAAATGCTTATTTTACTACATGTAAAATAAGTCTGACTATGCCACATGACTAAAAGTCTTTGAGTTTACTCACATATCTTTTCCTTTCTTTTCTTAGCTTGTAAGATAAATCATGAACCAGCAAACCTTTACTGTAGAGTCAAATAATAAATATTTTAGGTTAGGAAAGGCATAGGGTGTTTGCTGCAATTACTCTGCTGTTATTGCACAAAAGCAGCCTCAGACAATATATAACGCAAAGGGTACGGCTGGAATTAGCTGGCACCCTATTGGATGTGGCCCACAGTAGTAGTATGTTCACCCCTGAGTTAAATCATGAGGAAAACATGAAAAATAGTGTCACTACAATCACCCAGGTATCATAACATTTAGCCTGACAAAAGAAACCATTCACAGCCATGCAAAGTATAGACTGGTTTAGCACTGAATAGAATTAATCCTGACCCAGAAAGTGCTAAATGTAACAGTCTACTTGAGTTAGATTCTACTTTTCCAGATAACCACAAAATTTTCTAAAGTATTTTACCAAACAAGGGCCCACTCTAACTGTGGCCAGGTTTTCTAAACTGTCTACTACCAACCTCTCTCACCCTTCCCCAACTCATCCCAATTCCACTGTATGCTACAGATTTTTTGTCCCAGTAAGGTTAAAGTATTACCACCTCCTCTCCATACAAAGAGTGAATTGTATTCCCCTTACCTCTGCTACCAGAGTTGGGGGCTGACTTCATTTCCAGTCTTCTCCAATGCTGCCTTCTACTACCTAAGTTGGACAAGTTAAATGCTCACTTTCTTAGCCTCCTTTGCAGCCTACCATGGCCACATCATAAAATGCAGGACCTTTATAAATATCATATAAAAGACTACTGGGTGGGGAGTAGGGAGTGCTCTCATAAAGTTTTTATGTTTTTTAAAGGAGGGAGAGGGAGTCATAATTACCAGGACCTCTTCCCCTTTTCTGCCTGCCTTAATGGAAATGTAATGCCTAGAATCTCAGCAACCATTAAAAAAACCTGAGAGAATTGTAAAGATGCTATCACTGAAAATGTTAAACCACTGAATCTTCCATGATCTCCAGAGTTCTTATTATATGAGAAACAAAGGAGCTTGTAAATTGAATTTTTTTTTGCAAATGAAAGCATTCCTAACCTACCATTTCTAGAAAATGCTAGGACCTGGAGTACTACTCCTCATGAGAAGTAGAAGAGTAAATAAAACTGGCTGAGCACTTTGTTATGAATTCTGACTAAACAGCATTCCTTTAAATCTGGAGAAAAAAGTAGCAGGAAGAAAAACACAAAAGACAATCTACCTTGAGGGTCAACAACCAATGGCAATGAAGTCAAAGTGGGCAAAAAAAAAAAAAAGAGAGAAGGTGGGAGATGATTATCCAAATGCTAGAGATGTAGAAAAAAATAATAACTGAAAAAGCACTGATCTAGAATTGTGGGGCCAACAAGCCTTCTTAATGTTATACTCAGCAAATCAATTCTGAGAATTCTGATAATATTATTTTTCTATCATGAACTTCCACTGATTGGAAAATAAAAGTTCAGGACTCTGTTTTTGTAGCTACAGTCTTGTGTTTTTCAAGCTAATTATTATAATTTATCTTTATGCTTCCACTTGTCTGGTATTCACAAAGGCATACTTACTGTCAGTAGATGACCATTTTTGACATTTGCAGAATCTTTGAAACAATTATTAACAATCAAGTTAATGATGATACTGCCAATAAAAATAATGGTTGTTTCAAGCATTCACACACTAGTTTAGCTGACAGTTCCATCACTCTAACTTTAGGGACTTCTCTTCTACATGAGTATTGCTGCATACAATACCCAAAGATAAGTAATTCTACCTATTCAAAAGAAATTTCAGAAATAGCTTATTTTAACACATCCCTAAAATATGTTTTTACTTTATTTTCTTACAAATAATGCTATACACACGCGCACAGACACACACACACACACACCCCTCTAGGTCTAAACCCAATAGTCTTCTGCTCCATAAGAAGGATTTGGCAGCTTTATGTTGCCATATAGACACTTATCAATTACAACATCTTTACAGTAAAAAGAATTTTTTTTAATTTTTATGATTTCAGAGAATTCCTATGACTGTCAAAGCTTTAACTAGAAAGAATACCAAACACAAGGAGGTTCCAGCTCAATTACAGCAGAGGAACAGAATTTAATAAAGTTCCAACACTATATTTAAATGACCAAATTTCTTATTGTCCTTTTTAGTTGACAAGTATGTGCTTAGCAGCATAACAGCAGCAGCAAAACAGCTGGAGGGCCTTATCAGGCACAAAGGAAGCTACAGCACATACTGTTAAGTGTCGTTCTGATTGCCTAGAAACAGCAGCACATGCAGATTTACTCCCTGTTACAAATTAGAACAATTATTTCTCTGGAGTTTACATTGTCTTCATGAAATAGTCAAACTTCCTGCACGTTAAAAAAGAATACTTTCAAAAGGATATCTTCCCTTTCTTTGATGATCAGTTCATTCTGTTCTTCCAACTGCCTGATCTTCTTCTCAAATGACTCCTGCTCAGCTTTCAGTCTTTCCTCCGTCACTTCCTTTTCCTCACTTACTCTGAAAGAAATAATAGAAAAAAATTTTAACATCTATCAGAATAAAATTAAATATATGCCTATAGCTGCAGTTTACAAAAACTAGACTTCTTCCAAAGGTATGAAGAATTCTTCAGGAACACTGTTCTGTTTTTGTTGTTGCTTTTTTAAAAACTTAATCTCTCATAAGGCAATCTTTTTCACCTTTGTCATAAAAGACGCATGTAACTTTTACATTAAAAATGTTTTCAATCATCAGAGACATCTTAAATATGGAAAGTCCTACAAAGGACGCAGGTGCCAAATTATAATCCAGGACAGAAATATATTCCAATTTTTAAAACATGGGTTTCATTTTTTTTGTTACCAAAACAGGTACAATCAATTGATTTTGATTTACATTTTGTATACGTTTGTTTAAATCCTATTAATAAACAAAATATGTACTTTAAATATTTTACTAAATATACACGGGCAATTTTACTTTTTCCTGGTACCAATATCCTGCATTCTTTAGTAGCATATAAATAGTATGATTAAATACAAAGATGACAGTAACGTAAAGGAAGGTTTGCAGTACATGTTATTCTTAGTCCAAAAAAAATTATAGTTAAAAACATTAACTAAGAAAATATTTAACTCTGAAAACGATTCCAACTTAATCAAACCAGAAAGGGATGATTTCTGACAAGAGCACAGACAGAAAAAACAAAAATCTAAAAACAAACAAACATGAACAACACCAACACTTTATTTGCAATTCACTGACTTATGTGTTGGGACAACCCTAATTTTCTTTCTTTTTTTTTTTTTTTTTTTGAGACGGAGTCTCACTCTGTGGCCCAGGCTGGAGTGCAGTGGCTGGATCTCAGCTCACTGCAAGCTCCGCCTCCCGGGTTTACGCCATTCTCCTGCCTCAGCCTCCCGAGTAGCTGGGAGTACAGGCGCCCGCCACCTCACCCGGCTAGTTTTTTTTTGTATTTTTAGTAGAGACGGGGTTTCACCGTGTTAGCCAGGATGGTGTTGATCTCCTGACCTCGTGATCCGCCCGTCTTGGCCTCCCAAAGTGCTGGGATTACAGGCTTGAGCCACCGCGCCTGGCCCCTAATTTTCATTCTATTCTGTGTGCAGAGACATTAACCCCAAATTTCTGTTACTGGTACTTATTTCTCCAAAGCTCATAGAATGCACATATCCTATAAGATAACAGGAATAGGTGTAAGTGAAGCCCACAGGGAATCTAAACCTTTTCTTTGAGCTACTAAATTTACTTCTGCCCAGAACCCTACTCTACTAGAGCAACTTCTGTATAATATGAATCCCATAGGTTTTCCTTCTTGCCTGCCCTCTGGTAGAGATACTGCAATCAACCGGATAACTGAAAACTAGAATCATGAATGTTCAAGAGTTGATTGTATCTTGTCTTTGAAATAATTTGTGTGAAAGCACATGGCACATAGTAGTGCTCAATAAATAGGTTTATTTCTTCTTACTTATCATAGCATTCAAGTCATTTTCCCTGGCCTATATATTATTTATGTTTAGCATACCACTAGGCCCATGAATGGGACCCAGGCCCTTTTTTCAAAGAGGGTAATCTCAAAGACTGATATATTTACAAAGAATTCAGACAACTAAACAAATATATACACATGAAGAGACTTTATACTCTGTTAGCAGGTTATCCTGCTTCCTTTGTTCCCATCTCTTTACAATGCCTTCCCTTTTCCTGTTATTACTCTGAAGCCCACTTGCAATAACATCTTTCAAAGTAACTTTGACAAAGTCTGCTTATCTCTCTGGGCATTATTGATCTCACTAAGAAAGAAAAAAGGCTAGACTAGACAATTTTAAAAATCCTTTCCCATTGAAGTTCCAGAACTTCTTTCACTATATTATAAATATTTGACTGTGTGTGTGTGTGTGTGTGTATCCTTTATAAATATGGAAACCATTTGTAAAGAAGGAAAATGTTACCAAACATTTGGTCACGGAACAAGACATATAATACTATGGTTTAGGCAAAAGCTATGCCGATAGCATGACAGAATAGTAAGTAGATTAGATAAATATTAAAAAGTATAAAGATGTAAAATTTGGCATGAGACTACAGAAATGCAAAACAAAGTGATGAATCTGTAGGACGATGCATAAAACAAAGAAATGAGTGACGCTGTATACAGGTTGAGTGGCCCTTACCTAAAACGCTTGGGACCAGAAGTGTTTCAGATTTGAAATAGTTTCCAATTTGGGAATATCGACATTACCCGATGGGTATGATGCAGGACTTTTTTTTTTTTTTTTTTTTTTTAAACATTTTAAACAGTATCTTTAAATCACAGAGCATAGAATAAGCAAACAAACAGTGAGTAATGCAAGGAGGTCTTGTTCCCATGTGGGACACTGTGAGGGGCCTGCTGTTGGCATGCCCAGCCTGCTCAGATGCCTCTGTAGGTTTGCTGGTGCAGGAGAATCTGGGCATGCTCAAAAACGCTCTATCACAGCTACAGGGGTTTTGGGAGGGTCATTTTTCCCTTGTGGAGGTACACTAAATAAACTGTGTGTTGTATGCCTGTGTTTTGACTGTGACCTGTCACATAAGGTGTGGTGTGAAATTTTCCACTTTTAGCATCATGCCAGTGCCAAAAAAATTTCCAATTTTGAAGCATTTCAGATTTCAAATTTTTGTATTAGGGATACCTAATCTGTATTGTGAGCAAAGAATAAATACTGTCAAGGTAAGAAAATATGTAACAAAATCCCTCCCAGTTTAGACTGGTAAAATCTTGAAGACATGATGAAAGAGGAAAATCTGTAAGTAGATATCGAAACATTTATTTTCATTTATTTATTAAAAAGTATTCAGTGAACACCTACTAAAGGAAAAAGTAATCACAATAATTTTGTTCAGTATAGAGTTTCCAAAAGGGATCTAAAAAATGGCTTTCTGTAGTTTCAATCCCATTCATAAAAGCCATTAGAGATATGAAGAATGTCCCAAAGACTTGTTTCTTCAACAAACAATGCTCCATGGTCATAGAAAACAGTAACAGAAAAGCAGATCGCAGGTTTACCTTAACATTAATCTAAATGCACAGATTATCTCTAGAGTCCAGCCAGGTCAGAAATTCCCTAATGTCAGAGTCTGTGATGAGCTCTTCCTAAAATGTATTCTATCCAGATAAAATCATTCTTTTCTAAATTTAGTTTCTGGGGTATATTTGAAATATTTGTTGCTATGTTATTAAGCAGGGCTTTTTCTTTTTAATCTTTTCTGTTATGCTGCTATGATTTGACTATCCTGTAGCAATTATTAAGCACTAGAAGGCTATAAAATTAACAAGCTGTATTAAGAAAAAAGAGCAACATTTTTTCGATAGGCCTAACTAAAGATATGCATGTCTTCTTTGTGGTCCATTAGCATACTTAATATGAGCTAGTATATTAATATAGATTTTCAATGTAGAAGACCTGCCAATAAAGCAACCTCAAGATTTGATATTCATTATGAAATCTGTCTTCTTATGTTCAACAGTATTTCCAATGAAGTATATGTAACAAGAAAATATTTGGTATCATGGTCACATTTTTCATCTAAGTATTCTCAGACCACAAAGTAAAATAAAAAGACCTAATTCTGTATCACATTTTAAAGTATAATAGTTAGTCCTCACTTCTCCATAGTTTCACTTTCTGTGGTTTCTGTTAACTGATGTCAACAGTGGTCCAAAAACATTAAATGGCAAATAGCAGAAATAAATAATTCTTAAGTTTTAAACTGTGCACCCTTCTTAGTAGCATGATGAAATCTTGAGCCAGCCCACTTATGTCCCACCTGGAACATGAATCATCCCTTTGTTCAGCATATCCACACTGTGTACAATTCCTGCCTGTGAGTAGCCATATGGGTTATCAGACTGACTGCTGAGGTATATCACAGTGCTAGTGTTCAAGTAACCCTTATTTTACTTTCATTACAGTACATTGTTACATTCATTCTATTTATTAGTAGTTACTGATGTTAATCTCTTACTATGCCTAATTTAGAAATTAAATTTTATCATCAGTATGTGCATATAGGAAAAAACATGATACAGAGTTTCAGGGGGTCTTGGAATATATCTCCTGCAAATAAGGGAGGACTACTGTACAGCAAAAAGCTACTTAACACAATGAAAATCTAAACATATAAAAGTGAACTATTTGACTAATAGGATAAAATACATCTCCTTCCAGATAGAAGGAGATGTAGTGTTGATTTGTTAATTATCTACAAGAAGGGCAATAACCTGGTCATAAAGAAATCATCATTGTTGGTAATACCTCAGAGTAGTTCTCAAAAACTTCCACAAAATGTACTCTTATCTAACAGGTAGGAGAACTGGGTGGTTGGGCTGAAAATCAGGCCAAAGTACTGAATTTATTTGAAGTCTTATGCTTTACCTTAAACATTCATGCATATTTTGTATTCCTCTCCATAAAACTATTTTATTTTAATATAAAAAGTTTCCCCATACTCACCTATTCTAAATTTTTTAATAAAACTAATGTTTTAGAAAGGTATTTATGACTTTGCACACTCCTGATATTCTTCCAAATACTCCAGAAATTGGTACTTTTAAACGAATGTGAAAGACAACAAGTCAACAAACCTATCTCAAAGAGAATTCTAGCTCACCTAATAGTCAAACAGATAAGTTTCTTCCCTATTTAAATTCTCCCATTTGGGAGCTGGGTATGTTGGTTGTATTTTGTGAATTATAATGATCAACTTAGTGGGTAAGATTTGGAAAAGGAAGGAACAGATTTCAGAGTATGCCTAACAAATAGAAAAAAATTAAATTGTTTTCAAGCAAAAACAATTGCATTGATAAAGAAGGGATCTCTCATTACAAAGAAATATTTCAATGAAATCAATTTAACTTCCTCTTTACAAATTTTAATGTTTGGCTGTTATTTAAAATGTACTGCCTAAAGTAACGTAAGTGCTTTCAGGCATCAAAGATACAGCAATACATGTCT